TCAGTTTTTTGAGGTCCTCTTGGACCTCTGCATGTGCCTATACCACATTTTGAGAACCACTGTCTTAGAGTTCATTACTTGAAAAACCAGTGTGTCCTCGATAAATCAAACTCAACTGAACAGATGAATTAATAAACATAAGGCAGCATTCTCTTACATGTTGCACACCCTTTTTGAAATTTATTTTTACATTATATTTTCATGTCATAATCTACCTGCTGTTTTTATGTTACAACTATATGTAAACCTCAGTAAAACTTTTACACACAAGCTACCCGTGCAGGTGTTTTTATTCTGGAAACAATCAGAAGCTACAGAGGATGACATGGGTATCTATAATTATCAGTCTTTATTTAATTCTGTATCATTATGAATAAGAAGCCGAATGCTGTGTTCTCACTGCAAGTGACAGGGACAGGCTACAGGACATTTTAAAGGGAAGCCAGTGCAGTGGCGGCCCTAGCACATTTGGTGCCTTAGGCAAGCCCCTCTCCCCCCTTATTTTTTTTAATTAAAAAAAATAAGCAAAATGCCTTTTTACTATATATGACACATCATACTTCCTTCTCTAATATCAATTTTATAATGCTGTGAAAACATCAAAAATGATTCTACAAACAACTGTATTTATTAGTTTTACAAGATTACATTGAACACATCATGAGAACATTATAATTTACTGTCACCCAATACTGATTTTTACTAAATAGAACGTGAATGCATCACAATGTAAATCATCACTATTTGCTGCATACGTCTTCACCATGATACCCCGAGTGAGCTGCTTACCTCTACGCACCGAAGCACACATCACACATTCACAGGTTACCCACAAGGTACTGCCCTTACACGGGAAAAATGGTATATAAATAATAAATGTTTGTTTATTAACTGGCTTCTGGCCTCCTGTCATTTTGCAGAAGTGGCCCCTGGGTACAGGGAGTTGAGTGTCCCTGGTCTACAGCCATGCAAACAGCCGTGTGAGGCTGTACAAAGTTTTGACTCAATTTCAAACCACAAAAAAAATCCAGAAATTCGACAGCAGCTTGTCCACTCTTTATTATTAATATTTTTGGTGATGTTCACAATTTATTTTTACAATAAATGTCAGTATCATACAATGATAATATGACGGAGGAAAGAGAGGAAGAAGCTGTAAAGGGACATTTAGAAACGTGTCTCCTGTACAGACAGACAGTGCTCGAAACGTGTGCTCAGTAAGGCCCTGCACCCACAGGTATTAAGAAGGAATCTACACACCTATATATATTTCTCACACACACACACACACGCACGCACGCACGCACGCACGCACACACGCACGCACGCACACACACACACACACACACACACACACCTTTATTATATTTACATACGCATACACACACCAGCACTTGTAAGGAGGAGTCATTACATCCCTTTGGCTGTAAGGGGCAGTTCCTAATCATTGCTATTAGCTGACACTAATGTGTCAGATTACTCTGCAGTTTAATAATATTGCTTTTACACAATGAGGACAACAAAACAAAACGCTAACTTTTTTTTGCAGTCCTAGTGAAAAAAAGTGCATTAATCACATTCATTATTACTTTATGTTGCACTTAACAGCCTACTTTTTAAGACATCAATATACTTCACACGGATAAAATCTATCTTCAGAATAGTTTGATTACACAAGATTATTTACAGACTTGAACAACAGAGACATCTCTACATGACACCCTCTCAGCAGGAGGTGCCTGGCTTACACTGACTAAAACGAGACAAGAGATAAAAGTAGACTTTAAGTTTAGAGCCACACTAGCAGTCCTGCAATACAACAATGTTCAGGGAAAAATGAAGCATGCTCATGTCATTGTGCACTGGTTTAACTTGCATGAAAAATGTGCATGAAAAATTTGCATCTACATGTACCACTCCATCTCCAGTTCAGTGACAGAAGTAATAAGGACCCAGGTCTGCAGGTTAATATTAGAAGAGTTTGAGTTAGTGAGACACAGTCTGGGCTGAAACAAAAACATGTAACACAGTGGCCATTCTGTTGATTAAACTTTAACTGCAAAACACCAACACTCAGAATTGCATCTCTGCTTTTTGCAGATGATGTGGTTCTGTTGTCGCATGGTTACCTCCAGCATGCACTGGGGCAGTTCCACTGGGCAGCCGAGTGTGGAATGGTCGGGGTGAGAGTCAGCACCTCCAAATTTGAGGCCATGATCCTCTGCCAGAAACCAATGGATTACCCCTTCCAGATTGGGGGAGAGTTACTGCCTCAAACTAGGGAGTTCAAGCATCTTGCGGTCTTGTTAATGAGTGATGGTACATCCCAACCCTCACCTATGGTCATGAGCTCTGGGTAGTGACCGAAAGAATGAGTTGGTGGTCAAAATGAGTTTTATCATCTGATCAGGATGCCTCCTGGGCGCCTCCCGCTGGAGGTGTTTCGGGCACATCTCACTGGTAGGAGGTCCCCTAGGAGGAGCTGGAAAGCATGACTGGGGAGAGGGATGTCTGGGGTGCTTTGCTTGGCCTGCTGCCTCCGCGACCCAGCCCCAAATAAGCGGATGAAAATGGATGGATGGATGGATGGATGAGTATTTGCCGAAAATTTCCTTTAAGTTCAGTCTAAACGTGCCGGCTCAATTTTCAGTCTCAGCTATAGATAGGCTCAGTTGTGCTCATTATTAAGTGTTGGACTAGAGGAACGTTTGATCTGCTAGATGGCACTGTTGTAAATGGAGGTGGTGCTAGTGTGGCTAAAAACAGGCAGAACAGTAAAGCTAAAGTGGGGACACGTGAGTGAATGTCATCTAACACCAGGTGCAGCCAGAAGAACACACAGCTCTCATGAACACAACAGAGAACCAGCTGCTGCCTAAACAGGACTACACTTCACCTCCCAGCAGCATTTTCACACCCCACAACAAGAATCAGCTACACAAACTACAAAATAGATAAGTCTTAAAATATACATTTTAAATAAGCATCACACAAGATGAAAATATACAGTATATATATATATACGTATATATACTGGTCACTTTTAAAAGATAAATCTTTGTTGTTCATCACACCTACGTACACTGCAAATATACAGAAATATAAATATAGTCCATTTAATCCGTAACACCATGGCTTTGAATACTGTGATAAAAAAATAAATAATAGTATCCTCTTCCTCTGGTTTAACGTCGGTTCAACCAAGGGTCAAAGATCTTCATCGCAAAGGAACTGTGGTGTCTATTTCAGTAACACTTCATGAGGTTTATTTTCCCACAAATATACAGAGACAGTGTGCACTGAGCATATGTGTATGTTTGTTTGTGCATGTATGTATGGTATACAAGGCATACAGAAGCTCATAATATTCCATTGTTTGGATTCTTGTGCCTTAACTTCCTCAATCTTTTGGTCCATTGCTCATTTTTGTTATTCCATTTTCATTGCTATTACTTTTGGTCCATAGTGAACATAGTTTGTGCTCCAATCTAAATATTGCTTACTCATTGTGTGGTACATATTCAACTGCAGCTTTTTAATGCCACATGTGCAGAAATCTTCAAAACAATACGTCAACAATTAAGGTTAGTGTTTCATGTGTGCACAATAACTGTGTAATATCTTTGTGCTTTTGTAGTGTCGTAGCAACAAAGCCAAAATTAAGTGTTTCAAATTCACAGGAACAAGCTGTGCTTTCTGTCACTGAGGAATTTACATGCCTTGTGTTTAAGGCTTCGCTATTTGTAGTTCCCTTTCAACACATATCCTCTCTATGACACTGTAACCTAAACATGTAGATTTCAAGTGTTGTCTACTGTTTACTCTTTGGTGGAGAAACTGAACATGTCATAACATGTGTGTGTCACAGATGACGAGACTGTGGCTTAAATCATATTATCCTATATCATATGACTATACTGCATACCACTGTTTACACAGAATTAACGATACGGCTACACACAGAACACAGCAGGGAATTGGAACAGAACATAAATGGATGTCTTTAGAGCAGCTGTAAGTAAACAGAGCTGTGTGAAAATAGATCTGCACAGTGAGACGTGTTTTCTAGCTCAAGCATCTGAACAAAGGTCCTCGTGTAGACATACTGTATGTACTCACTGAAATCACTGCATATGTTTTATAGAAAATAACTTAGACTATATGGCTTTGACACACAGTACCACTACGTAGGACACATTAAAGTAACACTTTACCCCTCACATGATCATTTGATAATCAGTCACTCACTCTGTGTGTGTTGAATTTGTAAAGAAAGCTTTGTTTTTCTTGCATGCCCCTGCCGAACGAAGAATCCAAAAACATAAAATTCTTGGTGAAAAGTTATGGGAGTCTTTGTTTAACAACAGCAAAATATCCATTTACAAACTCTCACATGACTAATGCAGTATAATCCAAGTCTCATGTATCCAGTCGTATGATCAGTACTTCCTAAACACAAGCATTTTTGCTACAATATTACAATTTAAAACTGAACTGAAAGTGAAACTTATGATCTCTTCAAAGCCAGACTCCATTGACAAAAGCAGCAATTTTACCACACTAAACACAGGAGCTGCTGGTCTACTGCTGCCTTCATCAGTTACTGTGTCAGCGCTACTATGTGACTTTGGTGTTTTAAATGGTTAGTTGGGATTCACCAAAGTCACACAATTATACAAACAAACTCACTGATCGAGGAAGGAGTAGACCAGCAGCTCCTGTATTCAGTGAGGTAAAATTACAGTTTTGGTCAATGGAGTCTGGCTTTCAGTTCTGTTTCCCATTGAAAAGGGCTGCCTGTAAAGTGCTGAATATACAACTGGATAAATGTTATACTGCATGAGTTGTGTGAGAGTTTGGAAACAGATCTTTTGATACAGTCTTGCTGTTGTTTATGTGGATCCCTATGACCTTAATTCATCAAGAACTTCCTCTGTTTTTGGGTCTTTTTTTCACCAGAGGCATGCAAGACAAATGTTTTCTTCAAAAATTCAACGTAACACAGGATGAGTAATTGATATAAAGAGAATCTTTTGGAGGGTGAAGTATTCCTTTTAAATAATTAAATTAACATTCATCTCGGCTCTCTGTGCCAGTGTGCTGAGTGAAAACCAGTTCAGCCACCAGGACCACACTGGCTCCACTCTACATTCTTTCAGATCCCCTGCACTGTGCAGACAGGGATGTGCATTATAACCTGTGTGGGGGGGCTGTGTCTGCCGAGGATCCTTATACTAAGGCAAAGAAAAGCAGATCACAGAACTTTGTCTTAAGCACATAAACCCTGTGATGTTATATACAGAATAGATACAGATGTATAGTGTGTCACTGTCAACCTCACCCTGATTTCAGTGTTTAATTTACTGTTAAGAATTTTGTCTTTTTTTTCCCCATGTGGTTCCTTGGTGTTATTTTGGGAAGCGTGTGTTCAGATAAACTGGGCAGCTACATACAGTTTTGTGGTGTTAGTGGGGCAGCGGTGGTGATTCTTGGCGCTGCAGTGACCCCCAGTGGAGACTCTATGGCTGGAAGGTAAACTGTGCTACAGGACTGGGTGTCTGAGGGGCGTTTGGACAGCAGTCAAGAGTCAGAATCTGGAGTGGTGGGCATGGTCGGTGTAGTCGGTGTGGTGGGGCTGATGGCAGCGTTCTGGTAGCTCGTGCCGTAGCAGATGTTTGGAGACAGCGAGTTGGGGTCCAGGGTTTTGGTTCCTCCTGGAGTCAGGTAGGGCCTGCGTGCTGGCGTCGATGATGGTGCCTCACCGGGCTTAGCGCCAAGGATGAACCTGGACTCGTCCTGCTCCTCCAGGTTGGATATGTCCTTCATCATGGTTTTGCGGTAGGAGACAGACAGCTTGTTGGAGCCATCTGACATCAGGTTGAAGCGACGGGCGATGTAGACAACAGGGAGAGGAAGCATGGCCACGATGATGAGAGCGAAGCACATGGCCAGTGCCCAGGGAGGGTAGCTCTGGAAGCGTTCCTGAGCCTGCAGACAAACACAAAGGGTTAAATGATAATTTATATGTAATCTTTTTTTGTTGTAATGGAGAGTGTTGCTGTGTTTTTGTAGCCATTGCTCTATGATGACTATATCAATCTGATAGTCGGCTAATTGCGTTGATTCAGACAGACATATCGCCACAACTGTTGGAGGTATTGCCATGAAACTTGAAAAGACATTTATGGTCCCCAGAAGATCTTGCTGAGTTTGGTGAAGCTCTGACTTTACCTCCATTGCTGTCATGAGGTTCACATTGTGGTTTTGGGTCTAATGTCTCAACAACTGTTAAACTTTTAGATATATTGCCACGACATTTGATACACACATTTATGTTCCCCTCAGGATGAATTGCAATAACTTAAGTGATCACATATGTTTTTATCTTGCACCGTGCAAGGTCAAAATTTGAATTTGTCCAGTACTCAAGACGAATCAAATTCCCAGTCCCATCAGCCTTAGGTGTACCCCAGATTCTTATTTGGCATGTCATCTCACTATATTTGTGTTTTTCTGTGCTGTGTCTCTTGGATGCGTCCTGCCTACAATCTGGCACTTGGTCGGCACCTTTTTATAAAACCCTGACCTCACCTAAGGGCTGCTGTGCGGGTACACGCCCATAAACGTCCCGAACACAGAAATTAAGAAGAAAGTAAGAAAATACAGGCAGAGGGCAGAGTCTCTGTAGAAAAATATCCACCACACACATGTAGTGGGTCACTGAAGACACACCAAGCAGCAGTGAAGTGTAGTTCTCAATAATAATTTAATTTTTCTGCAGCTGGGAAGCGTGTTCATATGTTCCAGGTGGGGGGAAATCTTCTAACAAAGGTCAACGTGTCACAGGAGTCACAGGAGTGACTACTGATTGACTGTGGGTATTCTCTGGCCGCAATTTTCCAATGAAAGTTACCATCCCCAACGTTTAGTTTGGCTGCACTTGGCCACAGAATCAAACTGTCGCAGCTCAGAGTAGCCACCACAACCTTTCACAGACATTGCCACAGGCTGCACTTCCCAGCAGCTTGGTGTATTTCAGCATTACTTATGTATGAATTTAAAGATAGAAACATCCTGAATAGTATATCTACGTTGGTCAGGCTTGTCATTGTGAGCATGTTAGCATGCTGATATTAGCATGTAGCTCAAGTCACCAGCCTCACAGAGCCTTACATGGCTGGAGACCCTGTTTTCAGTCATAACGCCCACTCACTGTTATTACCTTACATATGTGCAAAGAGACACACCTTTTGTAAGAAATACAAGGGCTTTTTGGGGGGATACATATTTCTCTAGGAGACTTTTGTCAAAATTCCTCATGACGAAAATGACAAAAGAAATTACAAACAGGATGTTGAAGTTACCCTCTGACCACAGACCTGGTGGTCAAGAAAAAAAAACCCTGAAGAATAAAAAAAGAAAAGAAAAGACACCTCAAACAAAATGCACGCACGCACTGACCAGGTCTTGGACCCAGGCGTTGTATCCTGGTGGGCTGATGGCCATCTCTATGATGGTGGCTGTGATGAGCACAATGAGACACAGAGGGGAGACTTACTTCCACAGGTAGAAATAGATTATGCACGGTCGGAAACCCAACATGTCCTCCAGGTCCTGCATGAACCTGATGGAGAAAGAACAACAGAAACGTGAACAGTAATGATCATGGCCCATTATATGATTTTACACTTACTTAACACACCTCTGTTCCAGTTTTATTTCTATATTTTAAATTGCAGCGTGATGAACTGCAGGCACATGCGCACAAACCACAGCCAGTTGTACCTTTTTGTGCCATAAATCCACGTGACAGACACATTCTCCAGGATGACCACGACTGTGAGAGGCAGTCCGGCAGAGTAATCATCAAACATAGTGACAAAGTAATTTCCTGAGCGTTGAACTAAGAGCAGGCCACAGAAGAAGGCCACAATGCAGCAACCCACTGAAACAAACCCAGAGAAGAAGAACAATAATTAGCGCTCCTTCAGAGGAAATGATGAGTGTTTGACTTAATAGATGAGAAAATGAAAAATAAAATGGTTTTACTGGCAGTAAGCTGCTTTGCTTCCTGTTCTGAATTCATTACACACAAAGCAATAACACAAAGCCTAATGCAGCCCGTTCCCAAATGTGCTTCAATGCAGTGCTGAGTCAGGAGGTTGCAAACAGCCGACAGTGTCAGTGAGGAAGGTTCACCTGTGAACAGCTCCTTCTGGACCTTGTAAGTGTCGAGGACAGGTGTGGTGATGCCAGTCATGGTGCCGATCATGCTGCCCAGACCGAGGTTGATTAGCATGAAGAAGAACATGACCGACCAGAACGGAGATGCTGGGAAATGAGTCATGGCCTCTGTGAAGGCGATGAAGGCCAGGCCGGTGCCCTGGACAGACTGCACAGAGACGGACAGAGGACTGAAATCAAGTAAACATGGAACATGCTGTAGAATCGGCTGTACCAGGACTGTGCCAAAGACTCACCTTGTTTAGCTCGTCCTCCAGGACACAAGGCTCCAGACCCAGCTGGGTGAAGCTGTCCTCCTTCACTGTCTTGATGACCCCTTACATCTCGGCGTAGTCTGATGAGGTGAGATGGGAGAAGTTCACATGTGGAGGGATGAGATCGTGGCTCAGGACGTTTGAGTTGAGATATCCCAGGATCTTCTCAGCGTTTCTGCAGAGATAGAATCACAATCAACTCTACTGTTCAAGCATGCTGACATATTCAAGTCTGGTCTCAGTCGCTCTCAACACAGTGCAGAGAACAAATGTGCTGCGGCTGCAGCTAATGATTAGGAGGAGAAGTAAAGAAACCAGAAAATACTGATAATAATGAAGCTGGAATCAAAGAATTTTTTACTTTTTTCCTTAAAACTTATTCAAACCATTTCATCATTTATCAGATTAGTTGGTAATTAATTGAATAGTTGACAATTAATCGATTAATTGTTGCAGCATTAAAATGTACAGACTTTAAAGATATCAAGTAAAATAAATACAACCAAACAGTATGAATAATGCTTCAGGAAAAGAAGCTTTTCCAGGTGTGAACTTACTCTACGACACACTTTTCATTCATGATGTTGGCCTTGAAGCCCAGCACAGCAAACACCACCAGCGTGGCCAGAATGGAGGTGAGGAAGTTGATGATAGAGACGAGCACGGCGTCAAAATGACAGTTGTTATCGATCTTATTATAACTGGAGAAGGCTATGACTCCTCCAAAACCCAGACCCAGGGCGAAGAACACCTGGGTGGCTGCCTCCCTCCACACCTGGGGCTCCAGCATCTTCTCCAGCTGTGAGAGACAGAGAGAGAGAAAGTCAGGTCATAACTTCATTACTGAGCATTTGTCAGCATGGCTGGGAGGAATAAAGTTTCACCTTGGGAGTGAACATGTGAGCGATGCCATCCACTGATCCCTTCAACATTAAACCTCTGACCAGGAAACAGAACAGCACCACGTAGGGGAAAAGAGAGCTGAAGTACATCACCTGTGGAAGTGGGAAAAAAACATAACATACATTCAGGAGATGGAAACCAGTTTTCTGTCATCGTGTCACCCACTTCTGCCTCATCCTTTCCACTACCTTCCCAGAGGAGGCGATCCCTTTGATGACTGCGAGGCAGACGATGATCCAGGCCACCAGCAGTGACAGGGTCATTTTGACGTTGAGGCCGCCGCTCTCTGCGATGGTGCTGGTGGTGTTCAGAGTCTGACGGTACCAGAAGTAGGTCGTGGCTGAGCTTTTGTCGCACTCTGGCTCCACAACTGTGTGTTTTGCAGACAGAAGGAGATGGAGCTTTAGTTTGGGTGATAATGAGTATGGAGGACGAGAAATGGGTGTGAAGATGCGGCAGGGATGTCGCGGCGAGGGCAGAGGGAGAAATATAATAAGTGTTTGCTCAGGGTCAATATCTCAATTCTCGTCTGGTTTACACCTCTCAGATGTAAAGCCGGCTAACAAGGTCATCTGTGTGCTTAGTATGCAGAGCATGAACTTCCAGTTTACCACACCTGAGATTTTTTACACAGTATATTACTGTTGTTACCCTGAGGAAAAGATACTGTGTGTGAGTTTAGAGTCAGCAGTGTTACGATTCTCCACATAATTGTGTAGGATGGTGCAGATTCATCTATCCGGATGCACACACACAATCCACACAGACACATACAGGTGCGGGGACAGCTCTTAGATGTATGACAGGATGTATAACATCTGAAGTTTTGTCTGTCACACTGGACACAGACGTAAGGGAAGCACACACTTCATTCTGCTGCTGTCCTTCAGCATCAGCGTCCTTCAGTCTGAATCTCACCTCCCTGTCTCTCGGCCAGCAGCCTTGCTGAGTCACACACATGCTGAGCGTTACTCAGCTGCCCCTCAGGGTTATGTTATTATCACTTCTAATCGAATGAACACCCGAGGGTTTTAATCTGGATTATGTCTGTGAAGTCGTGACAGAAAGTTGTAAGCAAGTTAACACAGTTGATCTGATCTGCTTGCTGTAGGTGCGTCGATAGGCTGACGATTTGCAAGGTAACTTTAATCCTACAGCTCGTAACGTGGTGAGGAATTATAACGACAACTGTGTAGATACTATTAAAAAGATTGAGTATAACAATGACACAAATAGATATTGTTCCAGACATAACATAATCCTGAAAATGTACGCACTCTTGATATTAGATGAACGCATTCATCTATTTTAATGTGATTTCACTCAACAGGTTGATTTGAAACAAAAAACAAACCTGTCAGTGTTATAAACCACTTAATGACTTCACAATATATATATATGT